AAGGGTATATCATCCTTCCCCCAGATTCATTTCCCATCTGTAACAAGACTTTGGGGATGACCACTGGGGTGTTGCCAAAAAGGGACTGCCATATGTTTTTAGCACTGCTCTGCCTTGCTTTTGGGTCTTCAAGTGTGGATTCAGGATTGGCCAGTGTGTGGATTCAAGAAGAGGTGGACTTGACCTCAGAAAAACGCTTGAATCCTGATGAGATTGAGGCAGGCTTCTCATCTGTTCTGGATGCCATTGCATTCCCACTGACGAAGTGAGTTCATATTCTGGGAATGCTCCTTGACCCACTGCATTCACTGCTGGCACACAGTGCTTTTTCTAGTTTTATCCAGTCCACCAGGAACACTTCTGGGTGGGGATAACTGGGTGACCATGGGTGGTAACCTCAAGACTTGATTATTGAAATGCAGTACTATCTTTGAATCCAATCCAGAAGCTGCAACAACAGCGGAAGGCAATTGCCAGGCAGTTACTGGCTTATCAGCATGTAGCATCTCCACTGAAAGAGTGACACTGACTCCCCTTCTTCTCTCTGGTGATGATCAAGGTTTTGCACATTTGTTTAAAACCACTTGTAAGCAGGATATCTGAGTACACACAGTCTCCATGAGTGTTGGGGGTATCTGTACTCCTCAAGCACAAGGAGCTGAAACAATATGACCATCTGAGTGCATGTACATTGTTGGGGAGCAGTGAAATTGAGGCTTTCCTAGATTCCTTTTGATCCATCTTCTATTTTAGCATAGAAAGGTTTTCAAGTGCTCAGTTAAGAGCAAGATTTCAGTGCATTGAACCCTGGATAGTGAGGGTGGATTGCGGAGAAAACAAATATTGAGACTATTTCGTGATTTTGAAGTGCCAATTATGTGCTCTGTATTTCTAGCTCCACTCTTCCTTAGAAGAAGTCCAGTTTTCTAACACCTCCATGAGTGGACTGTATATGGATGAGAACAGGCAACTGGAAGCCGACTTTGATATAGTGAATTGGGTGCTGTTTCCCAATGATACTCCTGGGAGTGTGACTATTGGGAGTGTGACGAGACAGGGCTCTGCAGATACCAAGCTCACCATTAACCCAGAAGTCATTGCATGGCCCAGGCATTTCAATGAGGTGGGGAAATAGCTTTACATCAGATGATTGGCTTGTGACTCCTGTTAAGCTGTGTTTATGACCAGAGTCGTGATCATCCAAAATATTGTAAGCATGTTTACAAAGTCTGGGTGTGGAAGCTCCAAGGTGAAGACAGACAACAGGAAGAAAATAGATGTGTTCAAAAAATGCTGCTGGAGGAGGGCTTTGTGATTACCCCAGGTTGAAAGAAAGACAAGTGGGTCCTAGATCAAATCAAGGCTAAGCTTTCCCTAGAAGCAAATATGACAAGATTAAGGCTGTCATACTTGGGGCATATCATGAGAAGGCAGGACTCCCTGAAGAAGAAAATCCTACCAAGGAAAGTCAAAGGCAGACGAACAGAAAGACTAAATAAGAGACAGATTTGTTCCATAAGGGAAGCATTTGCCTTGAGTTTAAAACCACTGAGCAGGTTTGTCATGGATAGGACATTGATTGGATAAGATTGATAGGATGAGCACAAGTCAGAATGACTTCATGGCATGTAACAACAGAAGTAATCAGCAACAATCTGGACGCCCACCCAACAAATTCCAGAATGTCACCCTCATCTTCAGGTGGAGCAAAACTGGGAGCGATGGCACAGCATGTCTTAATTGACTGCAAATGTGAAAAGATATCAGGTAGGAGGCTTGGAGGTCTTGGGGGCTCCCTAGCTGAAAACCGGGACTCATCAGAGAGATGCGAAAGCTCCTACCACTGTCCCCAATCCCTCTTTGCTGACTTGTTAGGTTGAGCCTCATTCCAGGTGCATGGATAGCTGTTGCCCGGGATATGCCAAGGCGGTGCAGGAGGGGGAGCCCTCGTGCTGCTACGTATGCACTCCATGTGTGGGAGAGACCATCTCCAGTCAAGAGGGTGAGTATCCTCAGAGGAAATGGTGTTCTTCTGGGAAACAGGCAACTATTCAACCTCCATGCCCTCTTTTGATTCTCCCTTATTTTATTTTAATTGTTCTTCTTCTGTAACGTGTAACATTATTCTCAAATGACTTCTTAATTTGGATTATGGATCACCCTGATCATTTTTCTAGTCAGACATCACAAAAACATTGAAATTGAGGCATTGATGTCTGCAACATTTTGGAAAAGGTGGTAAAGATAATTTTCAGCTCTCCTCCTTGGATGAACAAAATAAATCACTTGCTGCCACAAACACATGAACACATTTTAATTGTTTAGATATGTATCCATTTTCAATGAATCAGTGGAAGCCCATGTGGATCTCTTCCTCTCCAATTTGTTTTCATGACAATCATGAGAGGTGGGTGAGGCTGATAGGCAGCATATGTCCCAAAGTCTCCCAGGGAGCTTCCTGGACAAGGGGGCCTAGAATCTGAATGTCCTGAGTCCCAGTCTAACACTCTAACCACTATACCACACTTGAATGTGTGGGTCTGTCTTCAATTTACTCACAGAAACCTGTGCATCATGCTGTGGTTCTGTGAAAAGAAAACAGAGAGCCTCGTTTGAAAAAAAAAAGATGCAAAAATGGCATGCTCAACATTTTCTGTAGCTCAGAGCACCTCCCTGCCCTTTTCCAGGAACCCCTTGAGAGAACCCTCATTCTAACCCTAACCTTAAGAAAAATGTAGTGGGAGAAAGAAGGCTTCCTGTAGTGTTCCTGAACTACAGCTGAAACTTGAGAGGGGTCCCCTTCAGTGCCACTTCATGGTGGAAGGTTGGGCATGATTTGAAAAAGTAAATCAATCAATAGCCACTTCCTGCCACTTAGCTTAACATGCTTTACAGGATTATTGTTGCTGTTACATACAATCAAGTTGTGTCCAATTTGTGGTGACTCTGCAAATGATTCCAAAGTCTCCTCACCTTGGCAGCCCTACTCAGCTCTTGTAAAACTCAGACTGTGGCTTCCTTCAGGGAATCAATCGATCTTGTATTTGGCTGCCTCCTCACCCCTCAATTCTTCCGCTTCCCCATTGCCTTCAACTTCCCCATACCCGTCCCCTTCCCCTCCTTCTCCCTATGAAGCTCCCTAACATGAAGATAGAGATAGGGTCACAGAATGAGTCAAAATACCCCCCTGTAAGGCCAAGTCATAGATGCTAGCTTGAATAATGCTGGATGATCAGACTCCCTTCTCCATATTTGAAGATGTCCATTTACTAAATCAACCCATCTTTCTACCCTGGATTCAACACTGACTCGCAACCATTCTGTGATATCTCTCACGGACAAATTTCCTGGAGCTTTTACTAAGGTTCTTCTTTAGTGATGAGGCCCTGGGGTGAATGTTCTAATCTAAGCAATGCTTGCCCCTCCCATCTCACATCCTTACCATTGCTCTCAATATAATCAAATGCTGGCTGTTTGGGATGCAACCTTGATCATGGGTGTCCTTCCTCCTCCTTCCAGATGCAGAGCAGTGCACCAAGTGTCCAGAGGAGCAGCACCCGAACCAGGACAGAGATCAATGTGTCCCAAAGGAGATCACCTTCCTCTCCTATGAACAACCTTTGGGGATTGTCCTGATCACCTTTGCTCTGCTCTTGTCCTTATCCACAGGCTTTGTCTTAGGAATCTTCTTTAAATACCAAGAAACTCCACTCATCAAGGCCAACAACCAGGATCTCTCCTACACCATCCTGGTATTCATCATGCTTTCCTTCCTGTCCTCCTTCCTCTTCATTGGCCGGCCAAGGAAAGTCACTTGCCTGCTCCGACAAATGGCCTTCAGCATCATCTTCTCGATTTCTGTTTCTTCCGTGTTGGCCAAAACCATCACAGTGGTGTTGGCCTTCCTGGCCACAAAACCAGGGAACAAGTTGAGAAGGTGGCTGGGAAAGAGCCTTGCAAACTCCATTGTCATTTCATGTTCCAGTGTGCAGGTCGTCATCTGCTCCCTCTGGCTGGGCGTCTCTCCACCCTTCCCAGATGTTGACATGCACTCACAGCCTGGACAAATCCTCCTGCAGTGCAATGAAGGGTCTGTGGCCTTGTTTTACACTGCCCTTGCCTACATGGGTTTCCTAGCCTCCATCTGCTTCACAGTGGCATTCCTGTCAAGGAAGCTGCCTGGTGCCTTCAACGAAGCCAAGCTCATCACCTTCAGCATGCTGGTCTTCTGCAGTGTCTGGGTGTCCTTTGTGCCCTCCTACCTGAGCACCAAGGGGAAGTACATGGTGGCTGTGCAGGTCTTCTCCATCTTGGCCTCCAGTGCTGGGCTACTGGGCTGCATCTTCATCCCCAAGTGCTACGTTGTTGTGCTGAGGCCTGACCTGAATACAAAGGAAAATATCATGTTCAAAAGCAAAGAGGACATCTGATCATATTCTTCGGACTCAGTCGTATGGCTTCCACCCACGAGTCATGTCTCTGCACCTGATGCATAGTGCTTAGTGCAGTGATCTTTTTCACACTGTGCTTTGTGCCTTGCATTTCCTCCAGATGGTCATTTCATTTCCTGCCATCTAGATGAAATGCCATGAGATGGAGGAAAGGAAGGTAGGGCATCCCCTGAATATGGACTAAGCCATCAGCCCCAGCCTCATCCCCTGCAGTCAAGATGCTAAAGGAATCCATCTTGAGCAAAAAGTCAACCAGATTCCTGCATTTTTTCTTCCCTGGCTCTGGAAGATACTCTAACATGCATTCAGCACTGTGCTGGTAGGAATCTCACTTCAGCTATGGCATGTGCTGGGATGTCCATGGGAGGACTGATAATGGAGGAGGGGAGGCCAGTCATTGTCATCTTCTTCCCTATCTATGCCATGTGTATTCCCAGAGACTGAGACTTGAGTCAGTCTTTTCTTGTATTCATCACGTCTCTGGTTGGTTCTCAAACACACAACTCTTTTCTTTGTTCTGAGACCCAACTCTGAGGCAGCTTTAGGGGTCCATGCTGACCAAGCACCAGAACAGCAGGCCTGGGACTTGTATAATTACTCCGTCACTTTAACGCAGCTTCTGGGGCCCTCATGAGCACCAACTGGTAGTCCTGAGGAAGATGTGTACGTGAACTGGCTCTTCCTTCAAGAAGCCACCTTGACAATGAAGGTCAAGTGATTTGATGTTGTGTTGTTTGGTGTTAACCCCCCCTCTGGTCCTATCTTTGTCTCCAGGTATCTCCTAATGTTGCTTTGCTTCACCAGTTTCTGACTTTGGGCCTTCCCTGACTACCTAGTCCAACCACTGGTCATGTTTTCACCGATCTGCAAAGTGGTATTTTAGACAAGATGTCACCAGGGCAGTTCGGACAGATCAGGGTGATGATTGGCCCCTGCCACTTTCTCAGAGTAGTTCTGCTAGTTGGAGCGAGCCCTCTAGGTACCCTATTGTCATGCTTGATGCACTGACAGAGGCAACACCTCGCGAGGTGGATTTATACCTGAGTCCCTGTGGTCAAATGTCCTTTCCACAACCTGACTTGGGAATAGCTGAACAGATAGCTGTCCCACATCCTGACACTTTGCCCACTGGGCAAGCAGCTGAGCCTCTGTCAGACCAAGAGGGCCCCGAGGAAAAAGGCACTATAAGTTCTGCCCTGGGAGAGCTTGGACAGACAGCCCCCCTTCCTCCTGACATTGAGCCTCCTGGACATGACACCAGAGACACAAGAGGCGGGGCAGATTTGGCCGACGCAATCCTTAGATGTCCTCTTCGCAGATTGGAGCAGAAGGAAGCTTTGTCCTGCCTCAGGGGGGAAAGGTGGGGCGAAGAAAGCTAGTCCCACATGGGTTCCCTGAGGAACGTCACTAAGGAATTAGCAACTGCCTTGTAAAGACCTTTGTAGCAGAGGTTATCTGTAGCGTTGTAAATCTTGTAGATAAGTAGTAATAAAAGACTAGTTTTATTGCTGGTGAACATGTGCGTTGTTTATACTGTGAGTCGTAACTCACAACACCTATTTATTTCTGCCAGACTGGGGCCCTCGGGCTGATCTTGACATGGAAAATGGTGTTGTGGATGCAACCAAACAAGGATGTGCTTTAATAATGGATGACTTCCACTATCCCCCAGTGGATCTCCTGTCCCAGTAATGAAAAAGGGGTTAAATTCAACAATATTCCAAGGGAGGGTCACCCAGATCACAAATAAGACTGGAGAGGAGCCCTCTCAAAACTCCCTTCAAAACTCCCTTTGCACAACATTCTTGCCTAATTCCTGCCATGGGAACTGGGAGAGTCATGTGGAGAAGATGCCCAAGTTGGCCAACACTGCAGCATGCACTCCTGACCCAGACAGCTTGACAGCTCCCTCTTCCTTAACTTTTCCTCACAATGTGTTTTCTGAACCGTGAGAGCACCTCCTGCATTTATCATGAAAGGTGCCATGGAAATTTGCTTAAAGCAGGGCACAGAGAAATAAATGCTATTGATTGATTGGTTGACTGATTGATTGATCAATGTTTAGGCCTCTGAATCTTCAGTAGCTCCAGCCACGGTTCTCAGGACACTGAGCCTCATGTGGAAGGACACAGCAGAAACACATAAGAATTGGTAAATGCTGACTGCAGAAAGCACCAATACACAGCAGAAATAAATTGGAGCAACTGTCAAGAAGTCCTGCATGAAAGGTATACAAAAAAATGGTCCCCAATATTAAAAAATTAAGCACTTGGAACTTTGAGGAGAAAAGGTGGACTGCTAGGAACAGTTTTCCTAAACCCAGCAGTACTGTGAAGCTTTTTCTGGCAGTGACTCACGTTTCCTTCCAACATCATTTTCCATAATTTTGGCCCAGAAACCTGAAGCTGCTCATCTTCCCTTATTTCACCTGAATGGGAGAGAGATGGTGCCCCCTCCCATTGAGTTATGGTTTGCCTCAATCTCTTCCTCCTCTCAGCTGAACTCTTTCCCACCAGTACAATTTGCTCTACAGGAAGGTCACTTCCCTGGATCATGCTGGCTGTGTGTTTCCGTTGAAGTGTCTGTTACCCAGGTGAGCCATTGGCTCTTCTGTCGTTGGCTAAGCTGGCCTGTGATGTGACTAAGGCCCAGCAGCCTTACTTTCTGAGGGAGCCCCAGCCACAGGAATTGGCTGAACACCAGTGATGTCAGCAGCCTCATCCCCAGGGCTGCCTCTCCCCATTTGGACTGAGGACCTTGCTGAAAAAATGCCCAGGAAATTGGAGAAGGGTGCAATTACTTTCCACCTCAGTTTTTCATCCTCCCATTCTTGCCTTGTTGGAGGGGTTTCTGACTATGTTCTCCCTAAGTAGGAATGGGCAGAGGGTCTTTCAAGGTCACCAATTTCATCTCATCCTCCCCAGGCAAAGATGGGGCTAGAATTGCCCCAAACTGGCTTCCTGAATCGTGGGAGGCTTCAGGTGTCCTTGCAGGGCTATTATGAATGGCCTGTGGGGCAGCTCATTACCATCTGTCAGGCACTGCATGTGTCTGTAGGGATGGTGCCATTTGACTCAAGATGGGTTTCCCAAAGAACTTAGAGGCAGTTCTACCCCACCCACTGGCAGAGGGATGACACACATGCATTGGAGAGTTTCCCAGATGCTGTTGTTCTTAGGGTCTAGCAGCTTGAATGAAGATATAGGCACTGAATGTCTCAGCTGTTTGCCACTATGATGTGTTCTGCAGGCAAGAGCAAAAAGGTTTTAGGGACAAGGAAACTCAAAGACAAAAATGAGGAAAGCAGTTCTCATCTAACCTCAATCTTCCCTGAGACCTGCAAAACAGAACATCTTTTGGTTCTATCTTAACCTGGAATCCTTTGGAGGGTCGCAAACCTTCACATCTGAGATGTTTGTATAATGGACGGCATACAAAAGCTTTTAATAAATAAATAAATATTCCGGAGCCATCAAAATGGATTAGACATTACCTCACCCTTACCTAAGCCACCTTGTTGTTTTCATGAATTCCTCTTTTTCTGTCCACTCCTCCATCCTTTAACCATCTTGACTCACAAGAACAGTTTCCCCCTGCGACAGTTGTGTGTTTTCCCTTTGAAGTGGCTGTTGCTCAGGTGAGCAAGCCCTCCTCTGCCATTGGCTGAGCAGGCTGGTGATATCACAAAGGCCCAGCAGCCTGAGCTTCTGAGGAAGACTGGCCTTCTGGGATTGGCTGATCACACATTGATGAACAAGAACTCTCAGGACCAAGGATTTCACCTTCACATGTAGTCAAACCAGGAGGGGCAAAGCCTAACCCATGCCGTCCCCCACCAGAAGCAAGAGGCTGGACTTTGGCCAGACTGAGCTGGTGCTTGGCATGGGATGGGGAGTTTTGTGGAGCTCTTGCTGGAGGAGAAATGGTTTACACTGAGCCTCAGGGAGGATGTTGGCTTAAGGCAGGAATAGGAAACTGGGGCTTCTCCAGGTGTTTTGGACTGCAGCTCCAATTTACCCTAGCCAGCATTGCCAATGCTCTGAGATTCTGAGGATGTAGTCTAACGTCTCTGTATACCCCTGAGCGCTGTTCTCTGCATTAAACTGTAAAGCTTCCCCTTTCTCTTTCTCAGTTTGAACCACATGATTCTTTATTGAAAAGAAAACAGATGGGAAGAGAAGAGGGGAGGGAAGGGGGAGGGGTGCAGAGGGGACGGGAGTGGGGTTAGAGGACTTGTCTCTCTCTGAAAGTTTTCTTCATCTGGGATTGGGGCATATTCTCTTGTGGGATCCTTTGCAGATCCATGAGGATCTGGGCCTTGAACCCAGTTTTATCAAACAATGCACCTGAGGGTGGAGGGGAAATACCTGGTGGCTGTGCAGGTCTTCTCTGTATTAAGTTCCAGTCATGGAGCTGCATTTTTCTTCCCAAGGGGGCATTGATGCCCTAAGACCTGATACAAGGGATCAAGTCACCTTGAAACCCAGGCATGGCATCTGATCCTCATATCTAGAAATAGGTTCGATAAATGGATCCCACAGACTCTGCATGGGAATATGCAGAGCTTTGGGTGTAGGCAAGGAATAAAATCTCTCAGCATCAAAAATGTATACATTTATTTTTCCTTTTGTGGGGCAGGACACAATGGCCTTTTGCTTTTCAGGAGTTTCTGAGCAAGGACAGGATGATATATGTTTGCATCTCATTATTTGGTTAAAATTACTAGCAAACAAAAGCTCTTCATTATTATTCATTTATTTAGAAAAATTCTATGCCACCCCATTCGCTGAAGCCTTGGGGTGGCTCACAAACATCAATTAAAATATAATACATTAAACGAATACAATAAATGAATTATTTTATAAGTCGCCCTGGCCAAATAAAATAAGCAAATAATATTAGCAATTAAAATGATGTCTAAATAAAAAGGTCTTTGCCTGGCGCCAAAAAACAAATAACTACGGTGCCAGGTGGACCTC